CCCGGGCAGGAAAGTCCATGAGACTCACTCAGAAAACCGGAATTGGCACTGTGGCTCAAGTGGTAGAGCACTCGCCTTGAGCTGAAGAGCTGAGGGATAGCACCTAGGCCCAGAGTTCAAGCCCTACCACCGACAAAAACAAATAGGAGCTGGGCGCCGGTGGCTCACATCTGTAATCCTAGCTACTCAGGAGGCTGAGATTTGAGGATCTCGGTTCAATGCCAGGCCACGTTCAATGCCAGCCCAGGCAGAAAAGTCTGTCATACTCTGATCTCCAATAAACCACTAGAAAACCGGAAGTGGCGCTGTGGCTCAAGAGGTAGAGCTTGCCTTGAGCTGAAGAGCTGAGGGACAGCGCCCAAGCCCAGAGTTCAAACCCCACAACTGACAAAAAATAAAATAAAATTCAGGTGGCTGGGAATGTGGCCTAGTGTGCTTCCTAGCATACATGAAATCCTGCGTTCAATTCCTCAGTACCACATAAACAGAAAAAGCTGGAAGTGGCTCTGTGGCTCAAGTGGTAGAGTGCTAGCTTTGAGAAAAGAAGCTCAGAGACAGTTCCCAGGTCCTGAGTTCAAACCTTAGGACTGGCAAAATAAAACAACAAAAACCAATCAAGTGATACTGTGTGTCATCAGTATGCACAATGCCATAATACTTGTAAGCCTGGTCTCCAAACTGTCATGTAGTATTATCTCTTTTCTTATATTTCCTGTGCTTATTATATTTGCCAAATTTTAAACCCTTCAGTGTCAGGTTCTTCCAAACATTTAAAAAGAAATCATGAAAGCAGTTTACTGTGTTATTATCATGTTAGTCATACCTGCTAATTCTCTTAAAATGACAAGCACTAATGATGAGCTTTTATTTGAGGTGTATCAAACATATTCTGGTGTGCCCATGCTTTAAAACATATTTGTAATTCTGATTTTACAGAAACAATCACTTTCAATTCCAAGTCAAACCCATAAGAATTTATTCATGCTAGTGTTACAGCTTTTTGACATGTAGGAAGAGCTGATGTGGGTGAAACGTCTAGCTTGATGTTTTATATCTAGCTATTAGTCAGCTAATCCTCCTCCCTACTTCACTGAAAATATTTTCATTCTGTCTGACAAAAAGTAAAAAAATTACGTTAACTGTGACTAAAAATGTACTGCAGATGACACATTAATGACACTAATAGTACTTGCCTTATTCTCTCAAGTTTTTAAATTCTTACCTGTGGTGAACCTATATCCAGAGATAGTTTAATTTCACAAATGATATAATTTTCTTTTGGAGTAGTTTATTGGAGATAAGAGTCTCATGGACTTAGCTGCTGGGGCTGGCTTGGAACCATGATTCTCAGCCTCCTGATAAGTGTGAGCCTTGGTATTCAGTCGCAATATTTTTGGATCAAACTATTAGATAGAAATGCCCTTTTCCTTCTAACAAATTGGCACCTGTATTTACTTTTTTTTTTTGTCAGTTGTGGGGGCTGAACTCTGGGCCTGGGCGCTGTCCCTCAGCTCTTCAGCTCAAGGCTAGCACTCTACCACTTCAGCCACAGCACCACTTCTGGCTTTTTTTTTTTGCTTATGTGGTACTGAGGAATTGAACCCAGGGCCTCATGCATGTGAGGCAAGCACTCTGCCACTGAGCCAACTTCCCAGCCCTGTACTTTCTTTTTTCAAGAAAATCTACCTCGGGGCTGGGAAGGTGGCTCAGTGGTAGAGCGCTTGCCTCATATGCATGAAGCCCTGGGTTCGATTCCTCAGCACCACATAAACAAAAAAAAAGAAAAGAAAAAGAAATACGCCAGAAGTGGTGCTGTGGCTCAAGTGGTAGAGCGCTAGCCTTGAGCTGAAGAGCTGAGGGACAGTTCCCAGGCCCAGAGTTCAGGCCCACGACCGGACCCAAAAATAAAAATAAAAGACAATCTACCTCATCTTGTCAAAGACTAGTATTTCTCTGTATGTGTGTGTGGGGGGTGGCCGGGGGGGAGACTAGATAGCCTTCCTTTTTTTTTTTTGGTCAGTCATGGGGCTTGATCTCTGGACCTGTGTGCTGTCTCTCAGCTCTTCAGCTCAAGGCTAACACTCTACCACTTGAGCCACAGTGCCACTTCTGGTTTTCTGAGTGGTTTATTGGAGATAAGAGTCTCAAGGACTTTCATGCCTGGGCTGGCTTTGAACTGTGATCCTCAGATCTCAGCCTCCTGAGTAGGTAGGATTACAGGTGTGAGCCAGCAACACCCTGGCTCCTTCTTGCTTTCCCAAGAACTTGGTTCAATTGGTTATCCCTTTTCTTCTATATTATCCATTAGTCTTTTTCTACTAGATTATTTCATTTTGTATTTAGTCAGACTCTGCACCATTCTAAAACAACTTTCCTTGTCTCCATGGTCTTTATGGGTAACTATCCATATCTCTCTTTCTGTGCTCTACCAAATATCCTTGCCTCCTATTAACTAATGAATTCATTCTACTCTGATTTTACCTTTACTCTTCAGTAGTTCTTGAAAAAGACAGTGCTTTTTTCTTTTTTTTTTGTTTTTTTGGGGGGGTCCGGTCGTGGGGCCTGAACTCTGGGCCTGGGCGCTGTCCCTCAGCTCTTCAGCTCAAGGCTAGCGCTCTACCACTTGAGCTACAGCGCCACTTCCAGCTTTTTTCTTTTTGCTTATGTGCTGCTGAGGAATCGAACCCAGGACCTTGAGCATGCAAGGCAAGCGCTCTACCACTGAGCCAGCCCCAGTGCTTTTTTCTTAAAGCATTTTTTTTTTTTTTTGGGTCCGGTCATGGGGCCTGAACTCTGGGCCTGGGCGCTGTCCCTCAGCTCTTCAACTCAAGGCTAGTGCTCTACCACTTTGAGCCACCTTCCCAGCCCTCTTAAAGCATTTTTATAGAAATACAATTTAAATATCATATAAGTGACCCATTTAAAATAAAATTCAGTCATTCAACCATCATCGTAACTTCAATTTTAGAAAAATATCCTCTTTCCAAAAAAGAACCTTCTATTATTAGCAATAACTTCCCAGCCAATGATTCCTCTTCCTCTTTTTCCCCCACTGCAGAGGATCAAACCCAGGACCTGTGCATGCTAAGCAAGAGCTCTGTCACTAGACTACATTCCCAACCCCATACAGTACATTTTGAGTTAGTTTAAAGAAAGGAAAATAGGGCTGGGAAGGTGGCTCAGTGGTAGAGCGCTTGCCTTGCATGCATAAGGCCCTGGGTTCGATTCCTCAGCACCACATAAGCAAAAAGAAAAAAGCCAGAAGTGGTGCTGTGGCTCAAGTGGTAGAGTGCTAGCCTTGAGCTGAAGAGCTGAGCGACAATGCCCAGGCCTAGAGTTCAGGCCTCACGACCCCCCCCCCCAAAAAAAAAAAAAAAAAAGAAAGAAAGAAAGGAAAATATACTTTCTTTTTTTTTTTTTTTTTGTCAGTTTAGAACTTGAACTCAGGGTCTGGGCACTGTCCGTGAATCTTTTTGCTTAAGGCTTAGTACTCTATCATTTTGAGCCATAGCTCCACTTTTGGTTTTTCATAAGCTAATTGGATATAAATATCTCACAAATGTTCCCTGCCTAAGCTGGCTTTGAACTGCAATTCTCAGATCTGCTTTCTGAGTAGCTAGGATTATAGGCATGGGCTACCAGCGCCATGCCAGACTCTATTTTTTTAAATGGGAAATATAAGGTTCTAAAATATAGAGGGTAGGGATACAACTCAGTAGTAGAGCACTTGCCTAGCTTGCCTGAGGCCTTGGATTAGATGCCCAGCACTGCAAAACAGCAACAGTAATATGGGATCAGAAATAATGGGAGTGATCTTTTACAATGTGCCAGTCTTTTTTTTGCCACAGCTCACATCTTTCCCATATGCTAACTTCACTTATCCTCTTCCCTAAAGTCTTACAAAGTCTTATCCCATGATGGCACCAGGCTTAGGCTTAAGATTCAAGATCTTGGTGCAGTACAGGTGGGATTCCTTGGGTATGGTTGCTTGAGTACAGCTTCTTAACTATAATTCTACTTGATCTGAAAACCTCTGAACTACAAAAGAAAATATCCCATTTCCCATTACTTCACCATCTGTATAATGATGATGCATAGGATGATTGCATACCAAAGGAGTAAACCAGGGGACACACTGAAATCCCTGACCCAGAGTAATGATCTGTTTTTATTTGCTTCCTTCATAAAATATCTTACCCCACCTAGGCATACTTGTTCTTTTCCTAGTTTCCCCCACTCTTCAGAGGATCCTTTCATTTATTAAGTTGCTCAAAATCCAGGATACTGTTAACTGTTTTCTTTCATTCTCTCTCCTCTACATGCAATAACCAGCAGGTTTTCTATATTATCTTTCTCCCAAATGTACTCATTTTTTCTTCTTACTTATATAAGGACAAAGTCCTTATTATGACATTTTCTTGCTCAAAAATCTTCTGTGAATTCTCATTACTCTCTGATTAAAATCCAAATCCTTTACCATAGTGTAAAGGGTCCAAATAACTGAACTTTGCCTATACCTCTTCCTTGCTACTTTGCCTTTCACCTACTATGCATTATATCCTCTGAGCATCTCTCATTTTGAATATACCAAGTTCTCATAAAAGATCTGTTTCCTCTGCCTGAAATGTTTTATGCTGAGTTACCGTATCCATATAATTGAACCTTTTTCATTTTTCAAGGTATGACACTCCTGACCAATCTAAGTAGGTACTACTCTGTTACTCTTTATCACCGTATTCTTTTTATAAAACTTATCCTATTTGTTTATCCTCTAGCTCCCTCACAGACTGTAAGCTCCACTAATAGCTGTGCTGTTCAGCAACATATATCTAGTATCTGAAAGGGCCTAAAACATAGCAAGATCTCAATAAATACTTGTTGAATATTGTTTAAAGGCACAATTTTATTTTGAGGTAATATGTTATAGTCAATACAAATTATAATGTTAAGTGAACTACTCCCTAATTCTTACTGAGAATGGCCTTGTGTTTCTCTTTCAGTAACTGCCCCTCCTTTCTGGCTGCTGCGTTAGCCAGAGCCACATCAGATGAAGTCCTTCAGAGTGATCTTTCTGCACATTATATCCCAAAGGAAACAGATGGCTCAGAAGGTACTGTGGGTGAGTATCTTTCTACATTGTTTAAAGATACTAAAATCTGGGCTGGGAAGGTGGCTCAGTGGTAGAGCATTTGCCTTGCATGCATGAGGCCCTGGGTTCGATTCCTCAGCACCACATAAGCAAAAAGAAAAAAGCTGGAAGTGGCGCTGTGGCTCAAGTGGTAGCATGCTAGCCTTGAGCTAAGAGCTGAGGGACAGCGCCCAGGCCCAGAATTCAGGCCCCATGACCAGGTCCTCTCCCCCCCCCCAAAAAAAATACTAAAATCTTATAGTGCTCCTCAGAAATTATCTGCAGTATACTAAATTAAATTACATTTATTTATTTATTTATTTTTTGGGTCCGGTTGTGGGGCCTGAACTCTGGGCCTGGGTGCTGTCCCTCAGCTCTTCAGCTCAAGGCTAACGCTCTACCACTTGAGCCACAGCGCCACTTCCGGCTTTTTTCTTTTTGCTTATGTGGTGCTGAGGAATTGAACCCAGGGCCTCTGGCATGCAAGGCATGCGCTCTACCACTGAGCCACCTTCCCAGCCCAAAATTACATTTATTTACTAGTTAATCATATAGTGGTAGTAGTGGAAAAAAAATAAAAAATATAAAAGGAAGAAGGCTTGGAATGTAGCTTAGTGATAGAGTGCTTGCCTAGCATGCATTGAAGCCCTGGGTTCAAATCCTCAGTACCACATAAGCAGAAAAAGCCAGTAGTGGTACTGTGGCTCAAGTGATAGAGTGCTAGCCTTGAACAAAAGGAGCTTAGGGACAGTGCCCAGGCCCTGAGTTCATGACCCAGGACTGGAAAAAAAAAAAAAAAGAGGGAAAAAACCAGCAAGTATTTCTGTAAAAACGTAAAGCAGTATATGGAAGGTAATTGGAACAACATAGTGTCTGGGAAGCAGGAGAAGTAGATTGAGGAATATGAATATACCATGGTACATGCCTGCAGTCCCAGCTTCTAGAGAAGCTGAGGTGGTAAGATTATTTGAGCCCAGAAGTTCCAGGTAAGATTAGCTAACATTGTAAGACACCATTTCAGTTTGTTTGTTTGTTTGTTTTTTAAAGAAAGGCAAGATGTGGTGGGGGCATAAGACCGGGGAAGATGAGAAGAATGCTGTTCCAGGTCAGCCTAGGAAAAAAGTTATTAAGACTCATCTCAACCAACAAGCTGGACATGGCTTATGCCTGTAATACCAGCTATATGAGAGGAGGCATAAATAGGATTGTAACCTGAGGCCTGCCCTGGGCAAAAGTACTTAAAATGAGAAAGGTAGAACACCCACCTAGCAAGCACAAACAAGACCTAAGTTCTAACTCCAGCACTGTAAATTAGAAGCTGACATTGGGGAAGAGTGGCCCATATCTGTAATCCCAGCTATTCAGAGGTAGAAGCAAGACAAGAAAAAGTTAATTAAGGCCCAATCTCAAATAGAAAAGCACAAACAGAAGGGCTGGGGATGTGACTTAAGTTGTAGAACACTTGCCAAGCATGCTCAGAGACCTGAATTCAATCCTCAGTTCAAAGAAATACACAGTAATCCTCAGTACATACCGAAGAAGACCAGTGAGAGAGGGCAGCGTGACTTTGAGTAAAACCTATTTTTTTTTAGCTTGGCTTTAAAAATCCAAATAAAAAGTCAGATATAAAAATTAAAAAAAAATCAGTTCTAACAAAACTGATAAATTATTAAAATGTATAGCTGCCAATAAGTAGAGCACTTTATGATAGATATGTGTGTGATTTGATTACATGGAGTATTGTACATCTTTTTTTACAGGAAACTAATGGCTCCTGGCCTGAGGCCCACTCACTGGGGTTGACCCCAAAGCCTCACACATGTTAGGCAAGTACTCTACCACTGAGATATATCTCTAGTGCCTGTGTTTTCAATTTTGTTTTGAGATAGGGCCTTGCTAAACTCAATTCCTCAGACTGGCCTCAAACTCATATCCTTGTCCCTCAGGTCCTGAGTACTGAGATAGTATACTTGTGTACTACCATATCCAGCCTACTTAAGTATCTGACTATAAACATGGTTCATAAGGAACAAAGCCTATATTAATGAGTGAAAGTGCTTAGGTTCCAGTGAGTATGTGACAGACATACTGCTCTTTTATCTTTCTAGATTGTTTGTGATGGCAATTTGTCAAGGGATTACTCTGTTTTGTACTGAGAATAATTGATTTGTCTGGAATCAAACTGTTGCCGAGTCAAGTAGGGTAGAATTCCTTCTACAAAGCATTGATCTTTCCTACAAAACTGATGCATAGTAAAACCCTTACAATGAAAAGATGAGAGATTAAATTCTGTTTCACTGCAGCCAGGGTGATGGCTGACTCAGCTCCAGCTCAGTACAATGACATTAAGAACTGATGAGTAATTTACAGCTGTGAGGGGGTGGACTGCTACTTTGGATGATTTTCACTTTTCACACCCCCTTTTTATTTTATTTTTCCATTTCAAGAGGCTATTATTTATATACTGATGCCCTACTCCACTCCCTGCAGGGGAATACTTAATGTAGCAAGACTGAAATGCTGCCCCAAGTGTCTACTTTGGAAGAATATTCTGAGCTCCCGAAGACAGTAAAGTGAAAAGAAGGGTTTTTCTTTTGCTGGATGTTATTAATCATCCTGATTTTTAATTTTTCCAACAAACCAGTAATGTGTCTATGCTAGACTATAATTCTTATATACTTGCAAATCCTTCATCTATTTAATCCAAATCACTCAGTGTGAACTACACTAAGAAAAATCTCTGCTGGGAGCATTGTCTTTGTCCATACATCTGAGTAGGAAATAGCATACTGCATAAGGTTCCCACTAAATCTATTGCCATTCTTAGTTGTTTCCAAACACAATATTTTTTAAAAAATCAGTTGTCACTGAGCACCAGTGCTTCATGCCTGTAATCCTAGCTACTCAGGAGGCTGAGCTCTTAGGATAGACGTTCAAAGCCAGCTCAGGCAGGAAAGTCCTTGAGATTCTCATCTCTAATTAACCACCAGAAAACCAGAAGTGGCCCTGTGGCTCATTTAGTAGAGTATTTACTTTGAGCTGAAGAGTACAGGGACAGCACCCAGACCCAGAGTTCAAGCCCCACAACTGACCAAAAAAAAAATCAGCTGTGAATTATTTTCATATTTATGTCATTCCCAACAGCATGTTGCTACATGATCTTCCATATCTACTTGATATGGATAGAATTTGGTAGCTGTGACTGCTGTACAAACAACCAATTTGAAATAGCCCAATGAAAATTAAAAACATAAAAAGGCTAGGGACGTGGCTCAAGTGAAGTGTGTCTGCCTACCAAATTGAAGTTGAAGGCCCTTAATACCAGGGGAAAAAACAATTAAGCCAAACAAACAAAAAAGCAGGAAAGTAAAATTATCACTAATACAGAGGCAAGTGAGAGAATGTCATATTTTTCTAGAAAAACATAAATTGACAAAGTTTACCTAAGAAGAAAGAGACTAAGAAAACTATTGAAGACAAGCCAGGCACCAGTGGCTCATGCCTGTAATCCTAGCTACTTAGGAGGCTGAGATCTGAGGGTCATGGTACAAAGCCAGCCCCGGCATGAAAGTCCATGAGGCTCTTATCTCCAATAAACCATTAGAAAACCAGAAGTGGCCCTGTGGCTCAAGCTGTAGAGGGCTCACCTAGAGCTGAGGGACAGCATTCAAGCCCAGAGTTCAAGCCCCACAACCAACCAACCAACCAACCAACAAACAAAAAGAAAACTATCGAAGGCAAAAGCACATGGAATATGATTCTACAAGTGAACTTTTTTTTTTTTTTGTCATTGGGCTTGAACTCTGGGTCTGGGCGCTGTCCCTCAACTCTTCAGTTCAAGGCTAGTGCTCTACCACTTGAGCCACAGCACCACTTCTGGCTTTTTCTGTTTATGTGGTGCTGAGGAATCGAACCCAGGGCCTCATGCATATGAGGCAAGCACTTTACTATTGAGCCACCTTCCCAGCCCCTATAAGTGAACTTTCTTTTTCTTATTTTTTTCTTTCCTTTTTTGAGTCTGGGTCCTAGGTTGGGATCAAACTTGCAACCCTCCTTCACCCTGATTAGTTTTGAGATAACAAGCAGGTGCTACTACACGTGGCCAAGTGAACATTTTCAAACGATCTAAGAGATAATTCCATTTAAAAAATGAATGTTCTAATTGCACAAAGAAGGAAAATTTTCTGTATAAATTGGATACCCAAAATCCTGCTTATGAAAAAATGAGACACCAGTCTTAGCAATAAATATGAAAAATTGTAAGTAAACTAAGTGAGGTCATACATTCATCACTCAGGAGGCTGAGGTAAGAGCATGAAAGTTCTAGGCTAGCCTTGGCTATGTAGTAAGACCTACAAAAAATAAATAAAAAATAATAAAACCCTCTGGGGCTGGGAAGGTGGCTCAGTGGTAGAGTGCTTGCCTTGCATGCATGAGGTCCTGGGTTTGATTCCTTAGTACCACATAAGCAGAAAAAGCCGGAAGTGATGCTGTGGCTCCAGTGGTAGAGTGCTAGCCTTGAGCTGAAGAGCTGAGGGACAGCGCCCAGGCCCAGAGTTCAGGCCCCATGATCGGCAAAAAACAGAACAAAACAAAAACCTCAAAATATTTGTACATTGTACAACAATTCATTCAACAAGTATTTTATTGGAGGTCTGTTGTATGTCCTATGATAGTAGGACAAAATTTGGTTCAAACCAAAATCCAGCATTTATGTTTAATTGAAACTCAGGAATTTTTGGGTTGTAATTCAGTACAAACACAACTCAGATTGGCTTCCACAAAACAGAATTTATTGATGACTCCAGAGTAAGGATTATACAGCTACCTTCAAACAATGTTAACACAACCTGGTATTTCTCCAATTCCCAGCAGTACTGCCTTTTATTTTATGTTACTTCCAGGTTCCAAGTGGTGATAAGGTGATTGCTCAGAGTACCTGATCTTCATTTGCCCATGTTCAAGTTGGGTAGGAGAATTAGTTTTTCTTACCTATGTCACAGGTTCACTCTGATTGGCTGAACTTGGATAGTTTTCCATTCCTGAACTAATCACTGTGACTGGAAGAATATAATTTTCTAGCTGGTAAGAAGGGAATCACATTTTACCCCAGTATGCATATGCATATGGAGAAAAAAAGGAAAAAAATAATACTGGAAAGCAAAATTCTGAATCAAAATAACGAGTAGATAAAATAATCAGGAATAAGGTGAGAAATAAGGTAAGCCTCATGTACCTGTAATCTCGTATGCTCAGGAGAGGCAGGAGGATCATAAGTTTAAGATCAGTATGGGCTATGTAGAGAGACATCATCTTCCAAAAGCCTCCTTGTTTAAAACAACCTCAAAACAATTGAGCTGGGAGTATGGCAGAGTAGTAAAGTACTTGTCTCCCAGCCTACCATGCGTAAGGCCCTGCGTTTGATTCTTAACACCAGAAAAATAAAAGGAAAAAGAAAAAAGAACCTATGTCAGTAGTCTGCTGGTCAACATAAAGATTTAGATTTAGGGCTGGGAAGATGGCTCAGTGGTAGAGCGCGTGCCTTGCATGCCTGAGGCCCTGGGTTCGATTCCTCAGCACCACATAAGCAAAAGGAAAAAAGCCGAAAGTGGCGCTGTGGCTCAAGTGGTAGAGCGCTAGCCTTGAGCTGAAGAGCTGAGGGACAGTGCCCAGGCCCAGAGTTCAGGCCCCACAACCGGACCCAAAAAAAAAAAAAAAAAAGATTTAGATTTAGATTTATTAGATAGGACTCAATATGAAAAATGTTTCAGTTTTATCAAAGTAATCTATAAATTATGCAATCTCAAACACAATACCAGCAGGTTTTTCTTCCCAAACTTGGCAAAATTATTAGATAGTTCATCTGGAAAAATAAACTTGTCAAAATACCCAAGTTAAATCTTTTAAAGTTAGTAACAGATAGGAAAACTAGCTGATACTGAAAGATACTTTAAAGTAATTTACTGTTGAAAAGGTCGATGAAGAGATAAGTGAAGCAGAATAGACAATCTAGAAGCATAAATATTTTAATAGCTATTTAATTATAAAGCTTGCATATTCATTAATTCAGCAGACATTGAATGGGAGCTGCTGCTGTGTGTTAGATATGAGTAATAAAGGCAATGAAGATAGTCTCTATGCAGTCTAAATGGAAAATGAAGAGAATAAGGTTTTAGAAATCAAATGAATCTGAGATTAGAATTTTTCCTGGGCTGGTATTGATGCTTAGTGGGAGATCACTTGACTAAGTAAGCTTGGGGCTCTTGATTCCATTTCCAGAACTAGAGACAGAATGCAGCAGATACTCAGGAAGTGTTACCTGTAGTTATAAAATGTGGTTCAAAAGTTACAATAGATGGTGTGAACATAGTGTAATAGGAGAAGCAACTGAGAAGGCGTAAGGACAGGTCTAATAGTTACTAAAACTAAAGGAAGCTAGTACTGCTTTCCCTAACCAAGTAAATCTGTAAGCTCTGTCCAACATAGTGCAATGATGTAAATATCCCCTTGCCCAGTGTGGTAGCCATTAGCCACATGTGGTTATTGAGTTCTTCAGACAAAGTGAAGTGACCAAAAGCCTGAATTTTAAATTTTATTAAAGTTTAACCACATGTACTGAGTAGCTACCTTATTAGTCAGTGCAGATCTACGTAAGAGAAATAAAGAATGATATAAATGTTTATATTATTATCTGGGAACTATCCTAATAGTTAATATCAATACCACACCCCATTCTCTCTCAAAATTTCTGAATTCATTGTTTGTAACTCTTATGATTGAGTCAAACAACGTATCTCAACTGGGTCTGCAACTGGGAGTCTATCCTGCTGCAGAGACCAGATGTTTTTTGTAATGATGAAAGGAGGTATGGATGGATGAAATAGGTTCTAGGACTGGGGATCGAGCACTTGCTTATAATGCATAAAGCCTTGGCCAGCTCCTTTATTCCATGAGCTTCATTTATTTTTCAAATGCATCCTTTGTTTTCAGTTACATAAAGTTAAGGGGAGGCTAAACATAGTTGTGTAGGTGTAACATAGCATACCTTACTAGGGTCCATAGGGAATTCTTGTCTCAAAAAATATGTTTAAGGGTGGCACAAAGCCACAAAACAGGGCTTACCACTCTGTACTATTACTAAAGAAAATAAACAACTTGATCAGTTTTCTAAATATAGTCATTTTAACAAAGAATTTCCTGCTGAGTGTGGCACCACATACCTGAAATCCCAGTACTTAGACTGAGCCAGCAGGATCTGGAGTTCTGGGTCAGCCTAGGCTACATAGCAAGACCCTGTCTTGATCAATTAATCAAAATAAAAAATAATTTGACATAAGAAAATAGGTAAAAATGGGGCTGGGAAGGTGGCTCAGTGGTAGAGCGCTTGCCTTGCATGCCTGAGGCCCTGGGTTCGATTCCTCAGCACCACATAAGCAAAAAGAAAAAAGCTGGAAGTGGTGCTGTGGCTCAGGTGGTAGAGCGCTAGCCTTGAGCTGAAGAGCTGAGGGATAGTGCCCAGGCCCAGAGTTCAGGCCCCACGACCGGACCCAAAAAAAAAAAAGAAAATAGGTAAATGTAGTTATAGATTAAAGTTAAGGCAAGCCTGGAAGTAAAAGCTGGGAGTCCAAGTTCCCAAGCTGCTCAGGAACATACAGTCTATTCTTTGAGATTTGTGTTTCTAGATTAGAAGAGGCATCTGCAGCCACTGCCCATCTGGCACATGTTTCCTCAGGCTTGGCAAGCCATAGTTGATTTAGTAAAACAATTTTTGTGTGTATGTGTGCCAGTACTGGGACCTAGGCATTATATCCCTTAGCTTTTTTCTCCTCAAGGCTCACACTCCCACTTGAGCCATAGCTCCACTTCCAGCTTTTTGGTGGTTAATTGGAGATAAGAGTCTCCAGTCTCCTACCCAGGCTGGCTTTGAACCTTGATCCTCAGATCTCAACCTCCCACGTAGCTAGGATTACAGGAATGAGCTACTGGCCACAGGTCAATAAAATATTTTTTTCTTTTTTTGTTGTTGGTTGTGGGGCTTGAACTCTGGGCCTGAGCACTGTCCTTCAGCTCTTCTGCTCAAGGAGAGCGCTTTTCTGCTTGAGCTACAGCTCCACATCCAGTTTTCTAGTGGTTTATCAGTGATAAGAGTCTCATGGACTTTCCTGCCTAGGCTGGCTTTGAACCGTGATCCTCAGATCTCAGCCTCCTGAGTAGCTAGGATTACAGTTGAGAGCCCCCGGTGCCTGGCTAATAAAATCATTTCTTAAGTTCTAATGTTGTTTCTTTTTTCTCTGAGATTTAGAAGGAGCCTGTAATATTAGCTTGAGAAAACCTGGTCTTCCATTGGTTATTTCAATAGATGTGGCTTGAGTAGAGAAAAGCTTGAGTGGAATTGGTTAAGATATCTCTTTAGTATACCATTAAGTGTTGTTGAAAAGACCTACCCATCAGTCCAACCTACTGAAAGATACAAAATATGCCTCAGAGAAGGTGATTAGTCTTTGTTACCTAATTTGGTTGTATAATAAAGTTAAGGTGAAGTATATACTTGGGGTGAAGAATACTATTAGTATTGCTTCTCTGATTACTATCACCCTTTTTCCATCTAGGTATATACACATAGACAGGATTTAAGTACTTTCCCCCCAAGAAAACCCCAACCCTTGTTAATTACCTTTATTGGCTAAACCATTTAAAATACTGCTAAAACATTTAGTTTTTAACTTAAAAAATTATCTTTAGATATAAAAGAGGGTTTCAATTTAACATGTCAGTTTATGAATACAGTTTATGAATACATCTTGATACCTTTTCATGATTCTCCTTGCTGTCTAAAACCTTAAAGAAAAACTGAAATAAACAAATAGAAAAAATATGTAATTCTATTCCAAATGATGATCATTTAGTGGAGAGAAAAGGAACTGTAAGTAAAGATAACAGAAAGAAAGGGACAAAGAAATTGCAATCACAGTTAACATTTTTCTTTCTATATTTATAAAGTTGTCTTAAGGCTTTCTTATTTTCTTATTCCAATTAACTAGATAACTAATGTTCATATTTCAGTCATTCTGAGTCTAGAAGGCTTGGGTCTCCAGGCGATAACCATTGCAGCCAGCCAGCAGAAAAATGCTCTGAATTTAAGCACAGAACCAGAATGCTTCGTGGGCTGGAAAAAATCAAGCCTAGAAACAGGTCCAGACCTAGCTAGAGGTTTTCTCCTTGTGATAAAAGGATATCTTAGTGACAGCTTCTGGCTGATGATTTTCTAGTGTAGATAGGCTGTCATTTTCTCTTCAGAAACAGCATTTCCTTTTTCTTGAAGACGATGAGTTTCTTCTGTTAAGGAATTTGACTAAGGTGCCCTACTTCTGTCCTTACCAAGCAATGTTACAAAGCTTTTCATTGGAGGTTTCTGTTTCCTTCACAGAGATTGAGACAGTGAAATTGGCGCGTTCTGTCTTCAGCAAGCTACATGAGATTTGTTGCAGCTGGGTGAAAGACTTCCCTCTCCGCAGGAGACCCCAGCTTTATTATGAGACATCAATCCATGCCATCAAAAACATGCGCAGGAAAATGGAGGACAAACATGTCTGCATTCCTGACTTTAATATGCTCTTCAACCTAGAGGTAAAGGGCACTTACGGAGAGTCAGTAAAACTTAAAACATAAAACTAACACCTTCAAGGTCCTGTTAGATAAGGAGAGCTGGTATTTCTAGTAGTATCTTTGGTAGGTTAGAATAAGATTAACAGTAAGGTGGCACAGAGTTGCTTGTGTTAGAAAACAGAAAGGACCTATTTATTTTGGTATTTTGAATAAGTTCAAATCATTCCAAATTGGGACCATTCTCAGTTGGGAGAATAAAAAATACTCAGTTCCCCTCTATAGCTTGTATATGCTTCTAAAGCTAATCTATAAATATAGAAGCCTTAAAAAAAATACCTTAAATCTTGGGCTGGCAAGGTGGCTCAGTGGTAGAGTGCTTGCCTAGAATGCATGAGGCCCTGGGTTCGATTCTTCAGCACTACATAAGCAGAAAAAGCCGGAAGCTGCACTGCAGCTCAAGTGGTAGAGCACTAACCTTGAGCTGAAGAGCTGAAGGACAGTGCCCAGGCCCAGAGTTCAGGCTCCACAACTGACAATAGAAAACTTTAAATCTTGGTAGCTATTTTTTTAAAAGAAAAATATTTCTATAGTATAATCAAATGGTGTTTAAGTTCCCACAAAACTATTGCTTAAGCAACACAAAACTCAAAAGAATGGATTTAAGGTTAAGACAGTTTCTGATTTCAAGTGATTTTTTTTCTTTTTTCTTTTTTGTCAGTCATGGGGCTTGAACTCTGGGCCTGAACGCTGTCCCCCAGCTCTTCAGCTCAAGGCTAGTGCTCTCCATTTGAGCCACAGTAGCACTTCCAGTTTTCTAGTGGCTTATTGGAGATAAGAGTCTCATGGACTTTCCTGCCCTAGCTGAATTTGAACCATGATCCTCATATCTCAGCCTCCTGAGTAGCTAGGATTACAGGTGTGAGCAACCTGCGCCCAGCTCTGTGATTTTCTTTCTTATATCTTGGTCTCTGAGATAGGAAAGTAGTTGTAATTACATTTCATGAATCTCTGTGACTGACAAATTGGATCTGCACAAGCCTTGTCATCTTAATAACCATTTTCTTGCTATCTTCCTTTTTTCTATTAAATGTATTTTATTAATGCAAACAGAGGTAGGTTTGCTTCCTTTGCTTGTCACTTGCCTCATTTCTTCACCTAAGTCCATCACTTAAAAATTACAATGTAGTAACTTACATAAAACACATTATCTCCTTCATTTAACAGCTGAATTTAAATTTCAGCTGACTGTCAAGATCTAATCAACAGTGATGATAGGTTAATAATTAGTACATTTAAAGATATTAGCTGGTACCTTTATTTCCAATATCATGTCCATGTAAATGTAATCCAAAGGTCACGTGATAAAGTAATACTTATACCATTATATCTACTTGAAGGTTAATACTCAGATTTGAGAGTCTTATTGTTGGTTATTAGCCTAGTTGATTTCTATTTTGTCTCCCAAATTTAAAAATTAGCCCAGGGATGGAGAAGTGGCTCCAGTGGGGAAGTAGGCTTAAGCTCTTGCCTAGCAAATATGAAGCCCTGAGTTCACACCATAGTATACCAGGAAGAAAAAAATCCAAAGTAACTCAGAAGGGAGCATTGTGTTAGGCTTTGAGGGAAGTTTGGCCAGAAATTCTTAGAACTTTATAAATATCACATCTTTTATTTTGGTACTCTGATTTTAATTTTTATTACAAAGAAACAAATGCAGACTTGCCTCATCTAAATGTTTTATGCAACATTGTTAATAAAAGAAATTGGAAAAAGCTAGGTATCAGTGGCCCAAGCCTGTAATTCTACCTATGCCGGAGGCTAAGATTTGAGGATCATGGTTCAAAGCCAATCCAGATAGGCAAATCCATGAGCCTCTTTATCTCCAATAAACTGCCAAAACAAAACAAAAAACAGCCAATAGTGAAGCTGTGGCACAAGTAGGCGAGTGCTAGGCTTGAGTAAAAGCAGCTCAGGGACAGCACGCAGACCCTGAGTTCAAGCACAATACTAGCACAAAAAAAAAATAAAAAAGGAAATGTCCCAAGTAATTGAAAGAAATGAAGATATGCTAACAAGATGAATAAGCCATTTAAAATGCCTTCAAATATTTAATGACACGGCAATGATATGACAGTAGTATGATATAAAATTTTATGTATACTATGATATGTAATAAATATATAAGGGGAAACAAAGGAGGAGGCAACAATGCTTGATAAGAAATGTACTCATTGGGGGCTGGGAAGGTGGCTCAGTGGTAGAGTGCTTGCCTCGCATGCATGAGGCCCTGGGTTTGATTCCTCAGTACCACATAAGCAGAAAAAGCTGCAAGTGGCACTGTGGCTCTAGTGGTTCAGTGCTAGTCTTGAGCTGAAGAGCTTAGGGACAGCCCAGGCCCAGAGCCTGGCCCCATGACCAACTAAAAAAAAAAAAAAAAAAGAAATGTATTCATTACCTTGTCCATGTAATTGTAATCCCTCTGTACAGTATTTTCACAATAAAAAATATGTTTGTATATAATTCAATGGTAGAATGCTTGCCTAGCATATCAGAGATTCTAACTTTGATCCCCATCATTGAAAAAAGATCTCTCTCTATATATGAGAATGGGGATATATATTACATATAATAGTATACGTAATAATATAATATATAGTGTATATATAATACATATATAAGGTATCTATGGATGGCAGGATTGTGATAATTTGTTTCCTTTATTTTCATAAATTGTACATTATTACAATAGGAAAACATCAATAATTTGTGTGTGTGTATGTATATGTGCATGTGCTCTTACTAGGTCATTTTTTTCTTTTTTTCTTTTTTATCTTTGTTAGTGTATTGTTTGCAGTTTTATTTTATTTTTTTGTCAGTTGTGGGCCTGGGCGCTGTCGCTCAGCTCTTCAGCTCAAGGCTAGTGCTCTACCACTTGAGTTACAGCATCTCTTCTGGCTTTTTCTGTTTATGTGGTGCTGAGGAATCGAACCCAGGGCCTCATGCATGCGAGGCAAGCACTCTACCACTGAGACACCTTCCCAGCACTGTTACTAGGTCTTGAATTCAGGACCTGGGTGCTGTCCCTTAGGGATTTTTTTTTTTTTTTTTTTGCCAGTCCTGGGGCTTGAACTCAGGTCGGGGTCTTGACACTGTCCCTGAAACTCTTTGTGCTCAAGACTAGTGCTCTACCACTTGAGACACAGGCCCACTTCTGACTGTGTGTGTGTGTGTGTGTGTGTGTGTGTGTGTGTGTGTGCACAGTATTGAGGAATTGAATCTGGAGCTTCGTGCATGCTAGGTAAGGAGTCTACCACTAAGCCACATTCCTAGCCCTCCCTCAGTTTTTTCATGCAAGGCTGGCATGCTATTTGAGCTACAGTTCCACTTGTAGTATTTTTTTTATATGTATTTATAAGTCTGTACTAATATGTTAAAAATATGGAACACTTCATCTTATTTTTTAATTGTTATTATAAAGGTGATGTACAAAGGGGTTACAGTTATGTAAGTCAGGTAAAGAGTACATTTCTTTTTTTTGCGGGGGGAGGGTCCAGTCGTGGGTCCGAACTCTGGGCCTGGGCTCTGTCCCTCAGCTCTTCAGCTCAAGGCTAGCGCTCTACTACTTGAGCCACAGCGCCACTTCCGGCTTTTTTCTTTTTGCTTATGTGGTGCTGAGGAATCAAACCCAGGGCCTTATGCATGCAAGGCAAGCGCTCTACCACTGAGCCACCTTTCTAGTCCCAAGAGTACAATTCTTTTTGGACAATGTTACCCCTTTGCCTGCTCTCTCCGAGGTTTTTTTTTTTTTTTGTCGATTGTGTAGCTTGAACTGTGGGCTTGGGCACTGCTCCTGTGCTCTTCAGCTCAAGGTGAGCGCTCTACCTTGAGCCACAGCACCACTTCTGGTTTTCTGGTGGTTTATTGGAGATAAGAGTCTCATGGACTTTCCACAGATCTCAGCCTCCGGAGTAGCTAGGATTACTGGTGTGAGCCACCGACACCTGGCTCTCTCCCAGTTTTTATCTCCCATCTCCACCCACAAGTTATAATTCATTTTCAATATAGCGTCTAGTGAGTACCACTGCTGCATTTGTGCTCACCCCTGGTGCGTCCATTTCTGTGCCCCCCTCCCAAAAACAAAATGAACAATGCAAAGAAAACAAAGAAAAAACCTTGTTTCCATTTCCTGGAGTTGATTTCAATAAATATATTTTCAAAAATATATTTTATATGATCAGATGCACATAGGCATTATGACTTTGTGTTCCTTTCCTAAGAGTATCCTCCTTTGGTTTCATGTGTATGAATGCCTAGAGTCCCATATAATTTATCAGGACCTGTGTATATTAGGTCTAGCCTCTGCATATGAGAGAAAAAATGCCATGTCTCTTTCAGTTGGCTTACCTCACGTAACATGATTTGTTCTAGGTCCATCTGTTTTCCTGAAAATAACATATTATTCTTTCTAATAGCTGTGTAAAATTCCATTGAGTATAGGTAACATGGGTTTTTTTGTTTGTTTTGTTTTTTGCCAGTCTTGGGGCTTGAACTCAGTGCCTGGGCACTGTCACTGAACTTCTTTTCTCAAGGCTAGCACTCAACCACTTGAGTCACAGCACCACTTTCAGCTTTTTCTGTGTATGTGGTAGAGGAATCAAAACCAGGACTTTATGCATGCCAGGCAAACACTCTACCACTAAGCCACATTTCCAGCCCCCATAGTTTGGTTTTGTTTTGTTTTTGGGGTCCAGTTGTGGGGCCTGAACTCTGGGCCTGGGCAACTGTCCCTCAGCTCTTCAGCTCAAGGCTAGCGCTCTACCACTTGAGCCACAGCCCCACTTCCGGCTTTTTTCTTTTTGCTTATATGGTGCTGAGGAATTGAACCCAGGGCCTCATGCATGCAAGGCAAGCACTCTACCACCGAGCCACCTTCTCAGCCCATGTTTTGTTTTTTTTTGATTGTAGAGAATCTGGGCTCTTCACTTCCAGCTTTTTGCTGATTAACTGGAGATAAGATTCTCATGGACCTTCTTGCCCTGGCTGGCTTTGAACTGAGATCTGAAGCTAGGATTATAGGTGTGAGCCACTGGTGCCCAGTGTTATACTTTTTAAAAAGATTCTCTTGCTTCCATTGTCACTGTTTTCTTCTGATACTATATTGTTTAAAATTGAGTACATATAGAAACTCTTTATATCAGAATAATTTCTAGATAGTTCTGTTTAGTCAGTCTTCAGTGGCACAGATGAACATGTATTGTAGTAGATACTGATATAATATTTGCGTATCATTACTGTGTGGATATTTATATAAGATACTTTTGTTTATAAGAACTGTTTTCAAGGTACAGATGTTTAGTATTCCTTCCAAATTCCATGAGATAGCAGCTCATCTCTTCCTGACACAGATGAGAGAACAAGTGTGGAAAATATGATTTGCTCAAGAATCAATGACAAAGCCTGGCCTCCTGTCATTGGCTCCTGGAACCTAAAAAAAAAAAGTAAAAAACCCCACAAATGAAAATCATTAGTTACTGTTGCCTAAAGGTGGATGAGAACTCCATGAGATTTCAGTGCAGTTGTAGATCCTTTAAACACCTGAATTGGAAATGAAGAATCAAGGTACTACTTGGTGGTGGAAAAGTAAACTTATAATCAGGCTTTGTCAAGACAAAGAAAAGGGTTAGAAGAACTTCCCTGGTAATTGGCCTACATGAGGGAAAATGTAAAGCTTACTATTAGATTATAAGACACGGCGAAGTTGTCTGCCACACAGGCATTTGGGTGTTCGATGTTCGAGATTAGTTAACTAGTTTAGAGAATGGTATGTATGGGGAGAATACAATGTGATTATGAGAAGGATTATAGTTCAGAACTATGTGTATACTTCTGTATCTCCATATATTTTAAACAGCCTGAAAATAATTGGCCTTGTGCTGGAAGGCCAATTATTTCTTATTATTGTCTGGCATTTTGAAAAATGTATTCAATACCTAACAGCTTTGCTCAATTTCTCCTCATACTTTCTTTCCTTTCTCTCCCAGTTCTGTGTAACAGCAATTTCGAAGCAAATGTATGTGGGTGGTTTCCATGGTACAAGACAACAACTTCCAATAGAGAGGGCACTTCAGCCTAAGCTAATTGGGCATGATGTGTTCCATAGCTCCAGTGTGTAAACACAGATGCCCTAATATTGCAGGTATTTTAGCAGTTGATCAGACATGTTAGGAAAGGGAAACATTTAGTCATATTAATGACAAAGGACTGGTTCATTTTAGTCCTCCTTTACCCCAAGTCCTTAACCGTTCTTTGTTTCTATTGGCAGGACCAGGAAGAACAAGCTTACTTTGCAGTATTTGACGGCCATGGGGGAGTGGATGCTGCCATTTATGCCTCCATTCACCTACACGTTAACTTAGTACGCCAGGAGATGTTCCCCCATGATCCTGCTGAGGCTCTGTGCCGAGCCTTCCGGGTCACTGATGAGCGGTTTATACAGAAGGCAGCCAGGGAGGTATGCTACACTTTCTCATAAATTGCAGTGATGAGTACACTGTCTGAGCTCAACTTGGGTTTTTGTGGATAAAGAAAGAGCTGTTTTGGATTTTTCTTCCTGAGAAAACAATTTTCTTTCTTTTTTGCTTTAGGTTTTCAGATAGGATTTTCTTTTTTCCCAGACTGGTCATGGACCATGGTCCTTTTAGTTCTTTTACCTCCCCAGCAGGTGGGATTACAGGCATGTACCATCACTATGTCTGGCATGGTTATTTTTGTTTTGAGTTAGTTTGCTAATTTTTTGTTTGGTCTGACTTTGAATGCCTCCAGAGTAGCTGGGATTAGATGTAAGCCATCATGCCTGACCTAAACTGTCTCCTTGACCCACAGTATTTGATTCTATTGTCCTTCCAACTCTAATTACCTCTCCAGGAATAGTTTTAGTGGGACACTCAGTTTCTGTAAATCATTGCTGGACTTAGCAGGTAAGTTTTATCTTTATTTGCCATTGCCTATCAGGTTTACACCAGGACTGTTTCTAAAGCACTGATGCTGACAAAAATCTGGATATGGTGAATATAAAACAATGGTTTTAAAAAAGAAACAGGATCTGGGATTACTTCCATACATTTGGTTCTAAATGGGTAGGCAGCAATTTGCTGTGTATCTTGAGAGAAAATTTCACTGGAGAGAGTGAATCCTTAGATGATCCTTGAGTGGATTTTCTCTTAAAAAGAAAAGCTAGAACACAAACTCTATATTGCTGAGGTTAATTAAACCTAAGGTTTTTACTCAGAATGAAATCTAGGGACTATATTAAGATCTAAAAGTAAAAAAATTAATATAATTATCATTCTGGGCATTGGTACATAATTAACTACAGTACTCTGTTGGATTTTTAACTGAGGGAAAAAAAGAAGTAGCAAGAAGTAACTAAAGAATTAGATTCACAGAAAATAACACCCCAGCCACACAGCTTAAACATTAACTTTTTAAAATGGACTTGGAAATGGGGTAATTGTTTTATCTATTTCTTTGATGTCGCAGGCTACAAAGCAATAGGGGGAAAATGAAACTAATTCAGAACTAGCTGGTATTAAGCAAGGGAAGTATTTATCCTAAATTTGGAGTAATACGTAGATCAAGTAAGAGTAACTACCGAGTTCTACATATTGGGGTGATGTTGGAAAATAAAAAAACAACAACTTTGACTAAAGAGGGCCAGTATTCTGATTAACTCTGGACCTCTTGAAGCTGAGGGCTCTCTACTGATGGCTATAACTGGCCCCTGATAGGTGATCTGAAATCACTCATGTAAAACAAAGAGAATCACTTTTTCACTCTTCCTATAGTCTGTTCCTTTTCCACATCTCCTCAAAATTGTGTCTTTTTTTCTGATCACATTTGTCTGTTTCATCAAAGCTTATAGTGTCAGTTATGCTAATAGTTCTCCTTAATAATTTAGGTTTGTTTCAGCAGTCATTTTTCTCCTTCTTGTGCGTCCATGTGCTAACTGCTGGGAAGAGTAGCTATTCCTGTTGTGAAGCAGCCCTGCCTCCTGTTCTCTCCAGGGCATATGCACAGAAGTGTCTTTATCATGTGTTCCAGAGGGCTGAGTTTTTGAACATTCTGTGTGGGAAGACATTTTATTGGTGGGTGAGGATTTATAACAAACTTTCCCTATATAGGAAAAAAGGAGAAGTTGTTTTCTTATTGGATACAAGAAGCCCTTTACCAACACTGACGCATTGGTTCTAATTTAGGTCAGGTCCTTAGTAACAGAAAGTCATGCTTATTTGGTGGTGACTCATGTCAAATGGAGATGTCATTTTTTAGTACAGTAGGATCAAGAGCTTTTAAGTACAATGGTAGCTACTGCAGTGAAATTCCAAGCTGATAGTTCTTTATGCCAATGTTTTAAAAGCAAGAGTCCCTAAAAATATTGTAGAGAGGTATTTTTTTTTCTTTTAAAAGTATAGGCATATTAATACTTGAAGTAATACATTCCATCACATGGATCCTTATCTTAAACCTAGAGACTGGGAGTATTTATTGAGTACCAAATGCTTTGTACATTATTTTGTACAGCTAGGATCCTTTACTGAACCATATAGAAAGTCAGTAATGAAACAGATGAGTATGTAATCTTTGTTCTCATACCTGTAATCCTAGCTACTAAGGAGACTGAGATAAGGAAGGAGGCTAGCCTAGACAGAAAAGTCTGTGAGACTCTATCACTAATTATCCAGCAGAAGGCCAGTCTGGAGGCCTAGACCAAATGATTGAATGCCTGTCCTGAGCAAGAAGGCTGAACAAGCCCAAGATCCCTAAGTTCAAGCTCCAGTACTGGCAAAAAAAAAAAAAAGAGGCTAAAAAATAATTCCTATAGTAGATTTAGCACTGGACTTGGAGACAAAATAAAATTTAATTGACTTGTGTACTAATTAATTATGTGCCCTTGGACAAGTTTTTAAAATCTCAGTTAAGGGACTGTGGATGTGGCTCAGTGGTAGAGTACTTGCCTAGCATTCATGAAGTTCTGGGTTCAATTCCTCAGTACCACATAAACAGAAAAAGCTGGAAGTGGTGCTGTGGCTCAAGTTTTGGAGTGCTAGTCTTGTGCAAAAGAAGCTCAGGGACAGTGCCCTAGCCCTGAGTTCAAGCCTCAGGACTGGCCAAAAAAAAAAAAAAATCTCATAGCTAAAACTAATAATTATCCCTGTGCTGCATATGCATATGGCATCAGGTAGATTAGTGTGTGCAACTGTTAGTACATACATGCATGTAAAAATGCTTTGAGAAACATCAATTTCTGTGTTTGTAAAATTGAATGATTAAAAGTCTATCTCCCAGATGAAAAGTTTGTAATAATTATAAAGTGCTTCTCATTGAGAATTTGGTGTCTATTTATCTTAATTGACTCTAGTCTTAAACTGTTTTCAGAGCTTAAGATGTGGGACCACAGGAGTGGTGACTTTTATCAGAGGCAACATGCTACATGTGGCCTGGGTGGGCGATTCCCAGGTTATGCTTGTGAGAAAGGGCCAAGCTGTTGAACTAATGAAACCACATAAACCAGACAGAGAGGTATGTATGGTTTGTTCTATTAGAGCACATGACAACTTTTTATTAATTAGGATTCAATTATTATTATCATCATTAATTTCAGCAAGTATGCCCACTTCCCAAAGGAGAAATAGAAACTTCTAGAAGCTGAAGGGTATTATAACTGTTGTTTAATGGCAAGTAGGTAAATAAGTCCTGAATCCAGTTATTTGCTTCTGTGTAGGATGAAAAGCAGCGAATTGAGGCCCTTGGTGGCTGTGTAGTCTGGTTTGGTGCCTGGAGGGTGAATGGAAGTCTGTCAGTCTCCAGAGCTATAGGTAGGAAGACATTAATTTTGTTTCTTCAAACCGTCTTCTATTTAGTTCACTGTCTTGTATTAACATTGTTCTGGTAATTTATATGGCCAAAATGCTTTTACTGTGGTTTAAAATAACAATGGATGCCTCTTTTTAATTATTTGATTTAATTACACCTACTTTCATACTTAAATTCCACTAAAAAAGGGGGACCACATCAAGAAATGCAGAATTCACTGACTTCTATCCCTTGATTTAATGAAAGCCTTTAATCGTTTAATGTACAAATCTGCTTAAAAACAGTGATCCTCATTTCATTCTACTTTTGGTCATATTCAGCTTACGTAAGTATTTTTTTGGAAAATGGAAAGCTTTTCCCAGTTTATCCATTGCTAGGGATTGAATTTCAGGGCCTCATGGTTGCAAGGCAGGTGTTCCCTACTCCTTGAGCCAACTTTCAGCCCCTTTTGCATTGGTTATTTTTCAAGTAGGTTTTTTCCCCCGCAAGTTTAACTTATGCCAGGGCTGTAATCCTACTTGTGCTTTCCTCATGTTGTTGGGGATAATAGATGTTTTACCACTGTGCCCATCCAGCTTAAGCTAGTCTTACAAACTTCTTTTTTAGCCTCAAACCCTGACCCCCCCCCCAACCTCCATTTCTGCTTCCCAAGTGCTGGAATTACAGGATTGGGATACCACACTTGCCCCCTTTCCCCTTTTCATTTTTTGGCAGAACTGGGACTAGCCTGGTGCTTGAACTCTGGGCCTGGATGTTGTTCCTGAGCTTTTTTCCTTAAGGCTAGCTCTCTGCCACTTGATCTGCATCTTTACTTCCAGCTTTTTGGTGGTTAATTTGATAAGAGTCTCAGACTTTCCTGCCTGGGCTGGCTTTGAACCAGTTCTCAATTCTCAGCTTTCTAAGTAGTTGGGATTACAGGTGTGAGCCACCAGCACCCAGCTTTAAGGGGATTTTCACTGTATAATTTCCAAACTGCATCTCAAGTATCTCAAGTTATCTATCACTTTTACTTCCCCTTCCTCTACTCATTTATTTTATTTTTATTTTTTTGTCGGTTGTGGGGCTTGAATTCTGGGGCTGGGCGCTGTCCCTGAGCTCTTCAGCTCAAGGTGAGTGCTCTACCACTTGAGCCATGGCACCACTTCCGGCTTTTTCTGTTTATGTGGTGCTGAGGAATCAAACCTGAGGGCTTCATGCACTCTACAATTAAGCCACATTCCCATCCACATCTACTCATTCTTAAAACAATTTCAGCAGTTTCACTGTTCACTGAAAAGTAAAAAATTGAAGAAAAAAACAAAAACAAAAAGCCAGATAGGGCTGGGAACTATAGCTCATGTGTTTGGGTGCTTTCCTAGGATGGGTAAGGCCCTGAAGGTGAAAGTCAGAAAACCTGTCTAAAACAGAGAACAAACAGGTGATTTGACTAACTGAAAGGGTGTAAATTCAAAGAATTGAGCTGTTTCTGTCTTACTTTAGACTCTGGATTTGTTATTTTAAGTTTCACGGTTTCCAGGTTTGTTTTTATTTTATTTATTTATTTTTTTGTCGGTCGTGGGGCTTTAACTCTGCATCTGGGCGCTGTCCCTCAGCTCTTCAGCTCGAGGCAAGCATTCTCCCACTTGAGCCACAGCGCCACTTCTGGTTTTCTGGTGGTTTGAGATAAGAGTCTCAGGAGCTTTCCTGCCCGGGCTGGCTTTGAACCATGATGCTCAGATCTCAGCCTCCTGAGTAGCTAGGATTATAGGTGTGAGCCACCAGCGCCTGGCCAGTTTTTGTTGTTGTTGTTGTTGTTATTGTTTGTTATAGGGCTTGAACTCAGGGCCTGTGTGCTGTCCCTGAGCTCATTTTGTTCAAGGCTTACATTCTACCACAGTCTCACAGACTTTCCTACCTGGAATGATTTTGAACTGTAATCCTCAGATCTCAGCCTCCTGCATAGCTAGGATTACAGACATGAGCCACCAGCATCCAGGCTCCTTTTTTTTTTTTTTTTTTTGTCAGTCATGGGTCTTGAACTCTGGGCCTGGGTGCTGTCCCTGAGCTCTTTAGCTCAAGGCTAACACTCTACCACTTGAGCCACAACACCACTTCTGGCTTTTTCTGTTTAAGTGCTACTGAGAAATTGAATCCAGGGCTTTTTGCATATGAGGCAAGCATTCTACCACTGAGTCACCTTCCCAGTCCCTCCGTTCCGGTTTTTAAAGAGAATATAAATTAATATGTGTCAACAGGGGTGATACATATATATTCTTTAGCTCTTAATCTCTGCTTCCATAAAGAAATGGGTATCAGGTTAGCATGGACATATTTCACATATAATAACTAAATTTAGCTTATTTATTACCAAAAACTTCTAGGACAGTAAGAAAATTTGAAAGGACCGGGTTAGTTTCATTACATTTTTTAGTTCTTCCCTTTCTTTGGAAAAGTGCTGGCAAGCTGTGAAGTGGCCCAAATATGAAAAACTGAGCAAGAAAGAGAGGTAAAAGAGTCTAGGAATACCTTTTGACAAAGAGTTGTTTTACTTTACAATGAGGTAGTTATTAGGAATAAGACAAAAAAGGAAATTTCACATTCCTAAAACAGTCCTGTATTAGAATTACGTTTGACACTCTAACTAGAACTTCTCTTCATAAGAAGACTGAGGAGGTTATCTTTAATGGTTGCTACAGAACCAACTTAGAAGTGATCTACTTTTTTTTTTTATTCTAAAAATAGAACACAAGGTGAAATTAAAAGCAGGGAGAAGTGTCCTTGAGTAAGAACGTGACAATCTGAAGGCCAGAAAGGAGGGCATCAAAGAGGAGGTGACTTTTGAATTTAATGTGGAGAATAGTGGTTAGAAAAGGAAATCCCAGGTATAGAGGAATATAAATATTTGTGAGTTTTGAAAAGGCAAAAAATAGCAAGGACAGGAGGCTAGAACAGAAGATAGGAGTGGTAAGAGTGTTGGCGTGAGACTATATTCTAGTCTAGACTTCACCAGATGATTAAGCAGAGGTATATTTGTATTTGTAAAAGTATATTTAAAGGTAGTTACAGTATAAAAAGAATGCAGAAAGGTCTATATGGGAGACAAGGCTGTAGACAGAATTGAGAACAGGTAAAAAAAAAACAGATGAGGACAGGATATGGAATAGTGTAAACAGATGAGACAGAATGACAAGTTGTGGGGAAGAGGAAAGCTAACTTCCAGGTTTCTGACTTGTGACAAGAAAGATGATATAGCTGGGAAAGTGGCTCAGTGGTAGAGCACTTGCCTAGCATGCCTGAGGCCCTGGGTTCGATTCCTCAGTACCACATAAGCAAAAAGAAAAAAGCTGGAAGTGGGGCTGTGGCTCAAGTGGTAGAGTGCTAGCCTTGAGCTGAAGAGCTGAGGGACAGCGCCCAGGCCCAGAGTTCAGGCCCCACGACCGGACCCCCCCCCCCCAAAAAAAAAGATGATATAGCATTTAAAATAAAGCAGCAGCTGGGTGCTGGTGGCTCACACCTGTAATCCTAGCTACACAGGAGGCTGAGATCATTCAAAGCCAGTCAAGGCAGGAAAAGCCCATGGAGACTTATCTCCAGAAAGCTGGAAGTGGTACTGTGGCTCAAAGTGGTAGAGCTATAGCCTTGAGCAAAAATTGCTCTGGGACAGCACCTAGGTTCTAAGTTCAGGCCCCATGACAGACAAAAACATAATAAAGCAGGAGCAGCTCTGGGGAAGGGAGAACAGATAATGAGTATAAACATAAAATACTGTATTTTATATTCTAGGTGTTGATGGGATGTCTTGTACACAGTTGGAAATTCAGATCTGGAGTTTGAAAATCATAGGTTGGAGATAGACTTGGTAACTTCTTTCCATCTTGGAAATATTAGCAAAAAGTATCTGAAACTATAGGCATAGGTGACATTGCCCAGGAATGTTACGTTGAATTATGAAAATAAAGTTCACTAATTAAGATTGAATAACATGGTCAGGTGTCTGGGTCTTTATCTTGGTTCTACTACTTTCCAGACCATGGAAATTTCACTCCTCAGTGTCTCTTTGCAAAGACAGGACAGTAACAGTACCAAGCTCATAGAAATTTTGTATTCAGTGGTATAGTATATGTATCATCTTTTGAAGCAGCACAATGCTGGCACAGTGTTAGCATACAATGATTGTTGGTGCTATTACGTTGAAAGGACTGGAGAAAATCAAGAAAGGATCAAAGACATGGACTTGTGGGAGACTGCAGATGCTTAGAGAAGTCTCCTAGGAGTAAGTAGGGAAGAGTTAAATGCTTAGAGGTCATGTAAGAAATGTTTTTTGGGTTTGTTTGTTTTGTGGGTTGTAGGGCTTGAACTCTGGGCCTGGGCACTGTCCCTCAGCTCTTCGGCTCAAGGCTAGGGTTCTACCACGTAAGTCACATCACCACTTCTGGCTTTTTCTGTTTATGTGGTGCTAAGGAATTGAACCCAGGGCCTCATGCATGCAAGGGAAGCACTTGACCACTGAGCCAGAAATGGGTTTTAAGACAGGAAAATTATTACCTGACTTACAAAAAGGTAACCTCTCTGTATAACACTTAATAAAAATATTTTTAAAGACATGGAAATTGGTAGGTGGAAAAACATACTAATTAAAAATAGGTAAGGAAAACCAGGCAATAACTAAGAATACATGGTAGTTTATTTATTGGGCAGGTTGATGGCAAGAGTGAGAAAAAAATAGTGTGGTAGCTCAAGGGAAAAACCAGTTTGTTAAAGGATTGCATAGTTTTCATTTTTAGAATGAGATTTTAGATTTAAGCACGTGTATGGGGAAAAAGAGCAAGTAGAAGAGAAACTGGAAATGAGAGATTAGATAGTGACCTAGGGAAACTTCAAGTTTAGCTTTTGTTGTTGTTGTTGTTGTTGGTCGTGGGGCCTGAACTCTGGGCTTGGGCGCTGTCCTTGCGTTCTTCAGCTCAAGGTGAGTGCTCTACGCTTGAGCCACAGAGCCACTTCTGGTTTTCTAGTGGTTTATTGGAGATAAAGTCTCATGGACTTAGGGCTGGGAAGGTGGCTCAGTGGTAGAGCGTTTGCCTTGCATGCCTGAGGTTCGATTTGTCAGCACCACATAAGCAAAAAGAAAAAAGCCGGAAGTGGCGCTATAGCTCAAGTGGTAGAGCGCTAGCCTTGAGCTGAAGAGCTGAGGGACAGCGCCCAGGCCCAGAGTTCAGGACCCATGACCGGACCCAAAAAAAAAAAAGTCTCATGGACTTTCCTGCCCAGGCTGCTTTGAACCGTGATCCTCAGATCTCAGCCTCCTAAGTAGCTAGGATTACAGACGTGAGCCACTGGCACCCGGCTTCAAGTTTAGCTTTGAGAAGGAAAAGGGATAAATCTGGCTTTGAGAAAATGGTAGCAGATATAGATATAGGTGAGTCTCTACAAAGTAAAAAAGTTGGATATAGGAATTGTGGAAATGCAGTTGTGACAAGCTTAATTTACTGAAGCAGAACATTAGTGCATCTTCCAAAGCCTAATTGTTTAACTCAGTTAAGGAGATGCAGAATATATGGGAAGCTCATGAAACACAGGACTAAATAAGAGAGAGGGACTACATAGAGTGTGGTCCATCTTTACATAAAAAATACAAAATAACAGCTTTTAACAACATCTCAGCTGATTTCTCCTCATGAGTCCTTCAGATATATGATCCAAAGCTGACAGAGGCATAGTAGGCTTTCTAGCATATGGAGGGAGGAGGTTGAAGATAAAAGGATGTTGGCATTTCTACCATGAAATGGATATTCATGCCCTCCTACCAAATTTGGGGGCGAAATGTCATGAATTTGACACCCAACAGTACAGCAGGTGAAAAGCCAGAATTTTGGCAGCATTTTCTCTGTGCAAATCTTTGTATGTTCTGTTCCAAACTAACAGTTGCAGTAGTCTTTTAATTGTAGCACTAAAACAAGACTTTGGGGAACAGTATGACTCAGATCCTATTTATTTTTAGAGGTGGCATTCAGAAAATAATAATTCAGTCAGGTAGAATAGAATAGAAGAAATTAAGTAAACTTGTGGAGAAAACAGAATCTCATGATTGGAAGTTTTAATTAGCTCCAACAGTCTATTGGGAGGCATCATAATAAAGTGAAGTTGGTATGAAATCAAAACCATACTTGAACAAGATGGTTTTGACTATTAGAAAATAATGAATGGCTAGGTGCCTACACCAGTAATCCTAGCTACTCACAATCTGAGGAGTGTGGTTTCAAGCCAGCCCAGGCAGAGATTCTTATCTCAGAGAGATAAGAATGAGACTCTTTTTTTTTCTTTTTCACATTTTTAAATTATCACTGTGAATATACCATACAGAGGGGTTACAATTACATGGGCAAGATAGTGAGTATGATATGCTTATCTCTAATTAACTTCAGAAAAAAAAGTCAGAAGTGATTCTGTGGTCAAGTGGTAGAGCACCAGCCTTGAGCAAAAAAGTTCAGGGACAACACCCAGTCCCTGAGTACAAGCCCCAGGACTGGTACTAAAACAAAAAAATAAAACAAACAAAATAATGGAGTCTTTAGAGATGAATAAGGTAATGGAGTTATAAATTTGATAACAGGAATGAAGTTGAATATTTATAGGTTTACTAAGGTAAATTAAGTAATTATCTGTTCTGGTATCCAGTCAAGCAACTTACTGGTTAGTGCATGTTGCCCACATTGGCAATAATATATTTAGCCACAAGGTTTCTCTTGACCTTTTGACCTATGTGAAGATTATACAGTGAAGTGACATGTTGGAATGGAATCTTTTTTGAGCAAGAAAGAATCTAAAACTGATATCAAAATCATGGTTTACTTATCTTCATCTTAGTGCAATAGAAAGAACAATAATAATGAATTATGTAGGTAATAACTGCAAGTGCTAGAATTTGGAGCTCAGCCACTAAATTACACACCACTACTTTTCATATAGCTTAAGTGGTTAAAGATACTTACTAGGTTCTCTCCAAATAAGTAAAGGAAAACAATGAATGTAAACAATGAGTAGATCTGGTAGTGTTCTAGAGCTGAAAAGTTCCAAAGGCATTGCAAATGATCAATTATCTCAGTAGTCTATATAGAGACCTAGCTTTTTATGTGGGACTCATATCTCCAGTCTTGATTATACACTGCTTCTAACAGGTTGCCTGTCTTTGTGTATGCTTGCTCAAGCAAGACACTTTTGCTTTTTTTTTTTTGGTCGTGGGGCTTGAACTCTGGGCCTGGGCACTGTCTCTGAGCTCTTCAGCTCAAGGTGAGCAGTCTACCACTTAAGACACAACACCACTTCCAATTTTCTTGTGGTTAATTGGAGATAAGAGTCTCATGGACTTTCCTGCCTGGGCTGGCTTCGAACCTCAATCCTCAGATCTCAGCCTCCTGAGTAGCTAGGATTACAGGTGTGAGCCAGGGTGCCTGGTGAAACTTCTGCTTTGTGGTAACTGACTCTTTTCAAGACTCAGGTCAGATATCATTCAGTGAGATAAGGAAAAAAATGTTGCCTTGGAGGTTTTCACGATTGTTAATAAGTTGTATGTATGAACAATACAAATAAAGACAGAGAAGTGGGTAACCAGACACATTAAGAAAGCAAAAATAAGGTATCCTCTGAAGACAAAGAAAAATGTCTATGGATTTCCTCTTTGTTTTCTAAAAGTTATAAAACAGCATACAATTGAAAGCTTGTTGAGCTAGAAACCAAGCACATTGCATTCTAGTTATCTTGTATGAAGCTTTGGAATAGAGGGAATTGATTTTTTAAATTCTTGTAACCTTACAAGAACAACATGGAGCTAGTCATTGATTTCTAAATAAAGGTAGAGCCAAAATTGTTTAACGACAACGGCTAGAACTGTGGTTTGTGTTTTCAATATGGACTTGTTCTTAAGTTGCAATTAAAACCTAAAGTACCTACGGTTTATGCCTGTAATCTTAGTTGCTCAAAGGCTGAGATCTGAGGATCACGATTCCATGAGGCTATCTCCAATAAACTATTCAAAAAGCCCTAAGTGGAGCTGTGGCTCAAGTGGTGGAGTGCGCTAGGTATGAGAAAAAAAAAAATGCAGGGGAAACATCTAGGCTCTAAGTTTAAGCCCCAGGACTGGCACCCCACCCCCACCCCACCCCTCAAAAAAAAAAATCCTACCTACTCAGGAGGAAGCTGAGATCTGAAGATTATGGTTCAAAGGCATCCCAGGTTCAAGCCCCAGTAGCAGTACCAACCAACCAAAACCAAACAAAATGTAAGCACCAGTAAAAGAATAGATCTACTGAATCAAAAAAGTTTTCCTGTGTATGGTTGAACTTTTCAATACAGCCAACAAATTGTCTTGACTTGCTTGTTTCCATAGTCAGTAGAGCCTAAAATCATAGACACACAAGGTTCAGAGTATATAAATTAGATAAAGACTGAAGCTCCATGACTAGCAATTATTTAACTGGGAGTAAGGTGTTCTCTTAGAGAACTCAAGTATTTTATCTAAATTATTTTGTAATCCTTTCCATTAAATTATCAGACATCCATTAAATTATCAGACATGCCATAAATATTCTAATCAAAGTGTCTTTTGATGTCACACTTTCTAATTCCCACAGGAGATGCTGAACATAAGCCATATATTTGTGGGGATGCAGATTCTGCCTCTACTGTTTTGGATGGGACTGAAGACTACCTCATTCTAGCTTGTGATGGCTTCTATGATACTGTTAACCCCGATGAGGCAGTGAAAGTTGTGTCTGACCACTTGAAAGAGAATAATGGAGACAGCAGCATGGTTGCCCACAAATTAGTGGCATCAGCTCGTGATGCTGGGTCAAGTGATAACATCACTGTCATTGTGGTATTCCTGAGGGACATGAACAAAGCTGTAAATGTTAGTGAGGAATCAGATTGGACAGAGAACTCTTTTCAAGGAGGGCAAGAAGATGGTGGGGATGATAAGGAGAATCATGGAGAGTGCAAACGCCCTTGGCCCCAGCACCAGTGCTCAGCACCAGCCGATCTAGGCTATGATGGGCGTGTGGATTCATTCACTGATAGAACTAGCCTGAGCCCAGGGTCCCAAATCAACGTGCTGGAAGACCCGGGCTACCTAGATCTTACACAAATAGAAGGAAGCAAACCTCACAGTGCCCAGTTTTTGCCACCAGTTGAAATGTTTGGGCCTGGTATACCAAAGAAAGCAAATCTTACAAATGAGCTAATAATGGAGGAAAAATCAGTTCAATCATCATTGCCGGAACAGAGTGGTACAGGAGAGTTTCTGGCTTCTTTTAATTTGGGTTCAACAGAGCAACATATATACAGAATGGAGAGCTCATCTCCTGTCTGTTCTGGGTTGGAAAGAGAACAGTTCAAATCCCTGGGGAAAAGAGTTTCAAAATATCATTTACACCACCACTCTAGGAGGCAGCATGGGTTCAGGTTTAATCCAAAGTTTTATTCATTTCTCTCTGCTCAAGAGCCTTCTCACAAAATAGGCATTAGCCTGTCCTCACTTATTCGAAGTGGGAAGAGAAACAGAATGTTAAGTTCTGTGCCACAGAAGGAAAATAGTTGGCAAGGGTACAGTGAGAATATAATAAAGAAGGTCAGAAAGAATAATAATATTCCATACCCAGATCTTTCCTGGAACTATAAAATATAGTACCTTTTCTTCCAAGTAGGCTAGCTAGCTCTCAATTAAAAATACCACTATCAAAGTAGAAACAAGGTAGACATTTTTCTAAAGCACATGTGCTTCATTATGAATCCATGGAGGCTCGATTCTTAAATGTAAATAGATCTCTAGGAAACTCAAATAGTGTTTTCGACTTGAAAAAAAGTATTGGCAGTTTCACTAGCAAAATTATACAACTGGTTCCTGTGATGTGTCTCTACACCTACATAGAATCCTCTTGTCCACTACCCCTTCACATCACTAGTGGAAGTTACTTCAGTCAGGATATATAGGGTTGAAATCTGCTCTGATGTGCCTAATCTATCTATGGGAAACCTAATGCAGAATTAAAGCTGAGAACTCCAGGGGAGTTTGAAGGGTCTCCCCTAACCCTTTGTTTTGGAAGGGAAAAGACTAAAAGCCATATGGATTTTAAATGACAATGATGAAACTAGAAAGCAAGTATAGAAGTGTCACATTCTCAGACTTGTAAGGCATTATATTATCAAAGAAATTTGCTTTTCTTCCCTGTAACAAATGACAATTATGAACATCTTTATTTCATTTATAAATATTTTAAAATTAAAATATATTTCCTAGGGCTGTAGTTACTTGAGTTTTATAGCCTGTTATGGTGCTTTGGGTGGAATTTTTTGTTATTTGTCATTTTAGGAGACCACTGTATGCTGGTTTTTAATCTATGATGTGTTTTTTACCCTACCTTCATCTCAGGAATAAAAGTGGTTTAATAGAGATGATGTTGGGTACAAAATATGAGTCAAAATGCCATTTAAAAAGAAAGTTAAGTAACATTTCTATATTTTATACTTTTTAAAGATCAAGCAGCATATAGTACAACATAAGGAAAATGCAGATATGAAGAAGAGCAAAGTCTGTTATACTGGAGGAGCAGCCACTGTCCTGCTGTGTGCAACTGCAGAGATAAGTTTTGTGCCTCTCACTTCTCACTATTTATAGCTGATACATTAAAATTATGTCCTTATTCTACTTTATTCTACTTCTGCAGTTTAAAGCCAGAGGCATATCTTCAACTAAGCAGAGTAAATAAACCAATGATCAGATTCATTCAGTAAAGCAGCTCTGAATCTGAGAATCAAGAGTGTCTCCCTGTTACACTGTGCCTACTCCCTCTCCTGAGTCACCAGTGGACAGGCCATGTTAACAGACAAGAGTAGCTACTGGAGTGATCACTCATGCAGTTGGAGGCGCTAGATGCTCTTGCTAATACAATTTATCTTCCCTGGACCCAAATAAAGACTAAAATCCCCACATCTTAAAGACAGATAACTGTACACACTATGGGTGCCAGTATAGTTACATCAAATACTTAAAAAAAAAACCCTCACTTTAGCAATGATTCATTTGTTAATCTACAAATTTTATTTTTTTTTAAATTTGGATGTAAGTAGATTTTCAGTATTTTTCTCTTGAAGTCACTTTTTCCCTCAAGTCTTGTGACACATGGGTGAAAAGAAGTGAATAAACATGGCTCCAACTATATAGTGTTAGAACTTTTCATCATTCTGAGGCTTTACCCCATATATGAACCTCTTATCTGTCATTTTCTGAAGCCTAGATCTTGTTGACAACCCATCAGATGCAAGTGTCAGTTTCAAATGAATTATCTAAGGAACAAGAAAACAGAGGCAGCAAAATATTGGTATACATTTATAGCCAAACATTTAGTAAATTTTAATTTTCTGTGGTTGATGGTACTATTTTTGATCAGAACAAAGGTGAAAGTTCACGAAATAGGCTTTTACAGTGGGGAAAAAAAGGAGTGGATGAAACTGGGAAAAACACAGATCCATTTCTGAAGGTCTGGAGGTTGTAGGTCTGACTATATAACAGTGTTATTTCCATACCATTAGCTCTCTAGAAAATAGAGAAAAGTAGCTCTAGTGTGGTCAAGTTAATAAAACAATATTGTAAAAAATAGCAAATATTCATTTGTTCACAACATGCATATTTGTAGGGTAGTTAGGAACCATTTGTAAGGTAAGTCCTTTAAAATTCTATGATACACATTAAAGTAGTGGTTATTGGTCTGATACATGCTGCTCTTGGTTCTATAAACTAGATTTTTTAAAAAGCAGTGCTTTGTGAAATGCAGTGTTATACCTTAATGCCACTGGTGATAGAAAAGTAGTTCCCTCAAGTTCAAATCCTATGCCCTTATCTGCTGCTTGCTAACGTAAGCAATAAGTAACCCTCTAATTAATGGTATCTCCTCATTTCTGTAACTTCTATTTAATGATGGTGTATGTGGTGATTGTAAAAATATTAGACAGATATAAAAGTATATAATATATATTAACTGTAAATGCTGAGCTATAGTCTGAATTAAGTGTTTTGTATCTCTATTCATTGTGTAATTTAGTGGTGGTGAAAGTTCTATACTCAATCTTTAAAGAGTGACAGAATCCCTTTTTCAATTTAACATGATCTGCATCAATTTGTTTGCCTGCTAAACAAGTTTTGTTAGACTAGGAAATAGTAAAACAAATATAAACAAGAAAGTGTAGTCTTGGATAGGGACACAGACTTCAAGTCACCAACTGAAGTTAATACTCTTTGTACATTCACTGTGAGTTTCAAAGGGAGTCAATCACTAAAGGTTTTGTTTTTCACTTTCTAGATGTGTACTTTTGAGGGATATCTGAGCTCAGGCAATGATACAGCCCCAAATACTGGGGCTACTAATGCCACTGAGGTCTGTACTAGAGATCAAATAGAAACATGTATGTATATACCTTTTCTTTACCTAAAAGTGCCATCCATTGTCCTTGAAGTAATATGATTAAAGTTCCTGTTGCATTTAATTTAGGAGGCTCCTTGAAAGTAATATCTTTTCCAAGGACAAGGTCAACAATGTCAATGTCAACAATGAGTCTAATCCTGACCACATTTATAGTGGTATACTTTCAACACTGCATTTTCATGACAAACACATTCCATTGTTAGAACACTGTGCCAGTAAGAAGTGTGACATCCAATGGCAGAAGAAACTGATGCATGAAGTATAAATCAGTGTTTACAGATAAAACTACTGTGGTTCAAGAACTTCCTTCCCCATCTAAGGCTTGCTGAGGTTTTGTGAGGAAATGATCTAAATTTTGATTTTGCTTTTTAAACTTGTTTGTTCAATAAGCATTTTAATCTAAAGCAAGGCTATAAAAGGGAATACTACAGTTTTGTTCACACTTTAGTTTGGGACAATTTTTCTTTGGAACATAAAACTAGTAAAACATCTTTTCAATTTTGGAAAACCATGTGATGCTTAAAGAAATAACTTCTCTTCTGTACTGACCTGTGAAAAGATGTATTTTTCAAAACAAAATGATACTGCCAGTATTATAACACAACTATCTTCCAGACAAATGGTACTGTATTGAGAAAAATAATTGTTACTTCCTCCTGCAGCATTTTATTTCAAAGACTACTGTACTAATTAAAATAAGAAATCGGATGGGAAATTCCAGACTGACATAGCAGTTGTTTTTTGAAAAAGAAATACTTTATCTTTGATGTATTAGCTAATCCAAATACATCATTGTAAACCTCTCTAGGTGCTCTTTGGTGAGATACGTTTTCTCTTGTTCCTGACAATTCTCTGCAAAGAATTCTCTATGGAGTGAAGTGAATGAAGTGAAATCATTTCTTACCAAGTAAATTTATCAATTTATGAACCTGCTCTACAGATCACTTTTGAGTTGAGTTGTAATCATAAGTGATCCTTCATATTTTATTTATTAAAACTGATTATGCAGGTAAGGAGTATGTTGAAATTTTGCCAATATCTTAATAAAACCCAGCAATTGAAAACCACAGGTCATTTGTCTTTTTCTTAAAGAAAATTTGAGTTATTAAATTTAGGCAGATTCCCTTAGAAGTGAAAAGTCTCAAGAAGTTACTTTTTAAGTAGAAGCATTTAAAGAAAAAAACTTGCTAAGTACTAGTAAAAACACTTTCTTTTCCTCCCATCAGTTTAAATGGGGAAAAGGGAAACAGTAGAGGGGTTAGAAGCCTAAAGTAGGAGAGAATCAAGACCTTCCAAGCACTGAGTGGTGACTATACAATCTTCCAAAGACTTCATTCTTAGAACTCTCTACCCAACCATCAAGTTTTTCCCTTTCACACCTTTCCTCTTTTAGTCTCAGAAGGAAAGAAATAAAAATGAGTTGTCACTGAAAGTGTTTCTGGAGGAGACAGAAAGGAAAATGTGAGAGAAGTAAAGCCAATTAAGCAAGACACCTGCATCTTGCAGAGACGGAAGCTTTTCTTCTGCCAAGGGCCATGTGGATATTTATAACCTCATTCAAGGGCCATACAAAAATACCAAGATAGGCAGAGGGCTGTGGCAGCAAACATACGTCTGGCCCGCTGTGTGTCAAGTATCAAATGACGGGCCCAAAAGCCTGATGTTCCCCACCCTTGATTCTAAGGGAATAGAATTAACCTGGAAAACAAATCTAGTTTACACTGAAATTACCTTCACAATTAACTTTTTAATTTTATAGTTACAATGTGTGTGTGTGTGCGTGTGTGTGTGTGTGCGCGCGCACACAGGTGCTGGCATTGGGGCTGGAGCTCAGAGCCTGGGCACTGTCCCTTAGCTTTTTCACTCAAGGCTGGCACTTCCAGCTTTTTGCTGGTTAATTGAAGATGTTTCACAATTTTTTTTCTGCCCAGGTTGGCTTCGAACTGTGACCCCCCCCCAATCTCAGCCTCTTGAGTAGCTAAGATTACAGGCATGAACCACCAGCTCCTGGCTTACTTACAATAAAACTTTTATTCACTAAAATCAAACTAGTCCTTATCATGACTTTATATACAGAAAGAAATCTTGAATGGATATTTGAAGGGGCTTACTAAAGCAAGGAATGTTACAATAGAACATTTTGATTAAAGAGTATTTATTTACATGTGGAAAAAAAATCCGTCAAGTTTGGTGTTAATTCAAGAGGCACATCTCTTTCCGGAGCTGCCATATGCAGCCACAGTGCAATAAAGTCCTTTGAAAGTCATCAAAATGATCAAATAATCAGAAATGGGTGTTTGGGGCTGAGGTATAGCTTAGAGGCTTTTAGCATTACCCTGGACTTGATTCCCAGTACTACAAGGAGAAAAGATTGGAATGATTTCCAGATTGCCACCTGCCTTTTTTAGGTTAGGGGTGCACAGATGGAATATAGGATTTTATGCATGCTAGCAACTGCTCTACCACTGAGCTACAGGTTCCTACCAACCCTCCCCCCGGCCCCAACATAGTAGCAACAGCAATTACTAAGAGCACTTCGACTGTTGTAGGAAACCTCATTTTGTTTGGCTTAGGAATAAGCTTTAGGAAAACTATTATTTTTCAAGTCAAGTTCTTTTCTGAAGAAAAGAAAACTATTATGTATTAACAATACCAGACAGTTGATTTTAACATTCTTCTTATGCTGAACTGTAAACATATCCCTTGTTATGGAAGCTCCTGATAAGATTGCCCTGCCCTCCTGGCACAAAAACAGGGCCTCCTGTACAGACAGGTTCTGATTTTTCTCATCCTGCTTTAGAACAAGGAAAATAAATGTGAAAAACCATCAGGAATGAGCCATATCCAAAGACATTGTTTTCCAAATAAGTATTAAGTTTAACCAAAGATGAAAATATACTAGTAACGTGTTACACACAGGGAACTATGACAGAATGGAAGGGGAGGGCTGTTAAGCCCAGAAGCAGTGCTATGGACTCACCAGGTCACATGGAACCAAAGGAGAGGCAAGCCCATGGAGGGCATCTTTCCCGTTCATACTAACTGCCCTGCAGCAGCCCCTGAAG